TGATCTGTGCGCCTTGCGGCATTTCAAATTAATTTACGGTCCAACGTCAACTCCACCTCTTCCTTAAATTGTCGTGCATAATTTAAACAAGACGGGAAATATTTAACTGGCAATAATTTACGTTTCAATTCGAGAAGAAATTACAAAATAAAACTCCGCAAGTCGTCCATTTTGCAAGGAAGACTATTTCCGCCAATCACGACTAATGTAAGAATCATAAATCTACAGACCAATCAGCGTGGGCGTTATATCAGTGTACCCCAGGGTCTTCTCCGCGCCCAGCCGCCATCTTGAAAGCGGAGTAGACCCTGGGAACGAGGTTGGTGCGTTTTCTTCCTCTCTCCTCGCGCTTCATTTTACTCCAGCGCCTGCTACGCTAGGCTCTATTTCCAGCAGTTTTGGGAGTCTGGTTTGCATCCTCCTCCCACAAAACGGCTGGGAAAATCGAGCCTACTGCAACGCAATGACCTGATTGTCGTGAATTTACATATCATGAAGTACCCTGGGTGCCAGAGGTTTTTCTTCTTCGCAAGAGAAGCGACGAAAGGGCGAAAGCGCGGTTGTGGCTCGTTGTCGCGGCTTCGCCGCTTACAGTTCGCGCAAAGGAAAAAGGAAAAAAATCCCTCTGGCACCCAGGGTAATCATGAAGGAAATCGAGGGAAAAAAAGATACGCGCGCTCTGATTGGCTCATTTACCATAACCAGAGATCTGTAGACCTCTGCCATAACTCTATGGAAACATAGAAAATTGCTAGAGCTTCGTGCTTTATTTCATAAAAACAATAGAAAACTGATGTTATCATAACTCTATGGAAACGTTTTCTATTTGGTATATAGTAGTCGGAAATGCGTATAAATCAGTTGATTTGATTGGTCATCGTTTCACACTAATACGCGATTTTACATGATTATGTTGTTTTTTTGACGTCACATCGCCCGCCCCCGAAACGTACGTGCGCATTATTTTAGGCATTATTTTCCATATTAAGAAAGTTCGAGATGGTATTTCCCTAAAGAAAACTCCAAACTTTTATCCGAATATCTGAGGCGAAACGATCCGTTGGGTGCCCCTGACTGTGCCTTGTTGTTTTCATGTTTCTCATGGTTTTATTAACATTTCGGCCCATATATAAACTAATAAACTGTACACTTCAGTTTACCACCCGAAAGTACCGTCGAACTAGGGCTAGACACAGATATCACGTAAAATCGCCTAAATTTCTTTCCGGAAATTCCCAAATTTTTTTCTAAATATCTCGAAATTTTTTCTAAATATCTCAAAAAAATTTCTAAATATCTCAAAAATTTTCGAAATATCTTAAAAATTTCCTAAAAATTTTTTCTTATAAATACACAATTACGACTCAATAATAACAAGTTTCATTTATTGTCACAATGTACAACCCGTACACAGTCTCTACTCTCTAGACTCTACGTGTACAACAATGATAATATTGAAACTTGAAAGCAGAACATAAACATTGTTTACTCAGTTCACTAATACTTCACTTGTCCGTTGTCTGCAAGACTGTAACCGGGAACGGGTATTAAACTGTAAGCAACATCGAGAAAATATACATAAAAGCCATGAGGCCTATAAGGAAATCCTAAATATCACCTAAAATATTAATTTTTTCTAAATATCTTGAAATTTTCTAAATATCCGAAAAAGTTCTAAATATCTCAAAAAATATCTGGATATTTGTGTCTAATCCTACGTCGAACCAAGTACCAACGACCCATGGTATCCTACCTAGATTAAACCAAAATTTATTCTGTAATTTAATACTGATCAAGTAGAAGTTTTTAATGTTGTTTGTAGACGCAGGAAGACCTGGAGCGCTTACCATTTGTATGGAATTTCGGTCATAATTTTCCTACAAATGGTACTGGACTTTTCTTACTGAAGGAAACGGAACGGGAATGAGCTGTACCATATTTTACCGAATGCCGGGAGGGCCTGGGTAAAAAAAACGGGCAACAAACTGCGTGTTTCATCAAGAAGCAAATGGTACAGTGATATTTCGATCATTTCGGTAAAAACGAGAAAAGAGGAATACGTATTCCTTTTTTCCCGAAAAATTTCCACTGGAAAGGACCGTTCCATTTGATTTCCCTCCGGAACAACATACAAATGGTAAGCGCTCCAGGGCTCATTTGCCCATAATGAGACAACAGCTCCATTTCTATCACCAGCTAAATATGTAAATGGTGCGTTCAAATTCAAAAAATCTCCTTCGTGGTTCACGTTGTTTTGCAGAGGAAGGGTCCTGGTGATAAATGACGCACTTATGGATATGTTTACAATTAAACTTAGGGTAGCCTGCGAGCCTGCTCGCGTGTTCCGCCACTCGCGTATGGGCCCCAAACGTGAGCTAGCCTGTTCCAGGCTCTCGGATAGTGGGCCCTGCCTGCCTCTCTCCCAGACTCCCTTCGCGCGGCCGTTCTTTTTTGCTTCGTCCCCACTATCCGAGATCCTGGAACAGGCTAAACGTGCACCTGCTCGTAGGCTAAATTTAGGGGTGAGATCGAGAAAGTTTGGGAGAATTCGAAAGTTAATGTAAACCCGAGATTGTAATGAGTATGGTGGTGGGGTTTGTGTTTATTTACGTATTTCACATGAATGTTTAGTTTAGTTAGTTTACTTAGTTTATGGCTTTCGGCTCGGTCCATATACTTGCCAAAAAACAAAAAACTCGACCAATATTTCCCCAACATTGCTTTAGTCATTTTCAATTGTTTTCAGTTCGTTTTATCCACTAAAAAGAAAACACAAACACTGTTTGTCAGTTTCTTTTATTTTCGACTTGAATATTTTGCTTGGAATCTTTACCAGGTAGGTCAATTAAAATAGAGTGAACGACAGTATCAAAACCAAGGAAGGACTCCCACAGATGTAGAAGTGACGGGGATGCTTGTCGGTTATTTTAAAAAGGCCCCTATAAAAGTTACCGGGCGGTTTTCAATCGAGTGTCGTGAAACCAAAGCAATCACAACAAACGTAAACATAACAATGAACCAATGAGAGCTCAAAGCAAATACACGTAACCAGCGCCAAGCGCGGGAAATTGCATGACCAAGTCGCGATTGGTTTTGCATCTGATTGGTCGAGTAAGATTGTGCAAGTTCTTTAAACCAATCACAGAGCGTAGTAAGGCAAAACCAAAACAATTCAGCGATTACTTTCGACACTCAATTGAAAACCGCTCCCAATTCCAAAATATTTTACTGATGAGTGATAAGCGACACTGGCAAGCCAAGAGCCAGACAAAAGAAATGTCAATTCAGTTTCTTGACAGGGTGCCATTAGCCAAAATTTCAGCCGTCACCTCTCTCGAGGGAGTATGCGACAGAGAAGACGGCTGAAATCCAGGCTAGGGTGCCATATGTGGTAACTGTTTAAAAGGTTTGAAATGAAACAACCTAAGCGGTACCAAAACACGATTTTCAACCACTAAAAGGTACGACAAACATCCCCATCAGCGAGTACCATAATTATGATATATTTTGTTTATGCTTTTAAAATAATTATGCTAGTTTTTTTTTTCAAGGTTTAACCCTTTCACTCCCGATTCAAATGAAAGCTATTGAGCAGTACTTTCAAGTGGTGATGTTTGTTTTTGACAATTTTGCAAAATAAAATTATATGATTTTTCCTCATTTTTTGAACTTAGCACTCTTGGGAGTGAAAGGGTCAAGATATAAAAAATACATTTTTCAGGATGCCAAAGGGGTTTAGTGCTGCAGGGCCCTGGACCAAAAAAATAGTAGAGTTCCAAAAGAAAGCCTTACTAATCTCCCCCCTCCTTTGGCACCCTGATTTATGCTTGACTGATTCCCATAAATTTGTTTCCAGAAAATAATATATCTGACATTCAATATACTACCTCTCAGGAACTACTCGAAACTAGACTACGACCAAGCAGTCCCCACCTACCTCATAGATCATAGTGACGAGCAGGAAAAAATGGTCACCCATAAAATGGGAGCACTCCCATTTTTTTGCATGGCCATTTTTCCACTCACATTTATTGCATGTCTCTCAATGATTTATAAGCAAGAGGGTACTTTCGCAGTCTACTCAGTAACCTCTGTTTTCCCCGTCTCCTCATCAGAGAGCTGTTTTTGGAATAATTTCCATCACAAGAATTGTACTTATCTTTTTGTCGGCAAGACAAAGATTAGCATAATTATGGTCAAGAATAAAGAAAAATATTTTCTTTCAAATACCACCAAATAATGCTTATGATATACAGTCGAACCCCGATTAAGCAGCCACTTGCCATTTCCCCGAGGGTGACCACTTAATCGGGGTTAGACTGTATAAAGCATATTGTGAATAACTCTCAGAAATGTACATCATCTAGGCTGTTACCATCACGCATGCATACATATAATAACCTTTTCAATTAGTATAAATATATCATATTAACTAAGCGCGAGGGCCGTACTGGGAGAATATCGTGCCCAAATTCTTGACAGTACGGATCGAGCGCAGCGAGGTCCATACAGGAAAGACTAAGGCCCAATATTCTCCTAGTATTTTTTCAGAGTACCGATAATAGTCTATTAAAATATGTGGTTCTAACTTTCCAAATTTGTGTTCTAACAACAGAATACTAATAAATTCATAAATATATTAAGTTCTGAACATAATTTTTGTATCACAAGTTTTCCCTGCTCATTTTCCCGACAAACTGCTACTAACACAGGTCCATTGTACTTCAATTATCTTGCCATTATATTGACTACCGGTAACTGAAGTACCATAGTCAACATGAAAATTATCATTACCTACCCTAACTTTGAACACTTATAACTCTAATAAGCCACTCTAGAAACTAAGTCATAGCTGGCACTTCTGGGGTCGTTAGGGTAGAATTGAGAAAATTCAAATCAATATAAATTATGATATTTATTGAAAGAAGTGATGGTGAATTTTAAGATTGGTAGAAATATGAGACAGCTGTTTTATCAGTCAGTGACACAAGCTACTCGAGTTCTCCCAACAGGAGTCGAACCTATGACCTTCCGCATACCAGTTGGATGCTCTACCACACTGAGCTACAGGAGACTCAGTTGTGGGAGCTTAGGCCATATAACTACAACCGACGACAAAAGTAGTTGGGAAGGTTGTAAAATATAGTCTTTTCCGAGTGAGATTAGACTTGAACTCAGTTAAAACCATAAATGAACTGTTTTACAGCCCCCTCTCCCCCCTATCAATGAGCCTCGCAATTCAATCCTGTGAGAATAAGGTTGCGAGAAGCTCAACAATGAGCAGGGGAGGGGAGGGGAGGGGAGGGGAGGGGAGGGGAGGAACAAAATGATTTACCTTCCCTTCCTAGGATTAGTTTTGTCAAATTCAATATATGAGATATGAATGTGTGGTTCCAGAATATATCCATACCTCCCCCACGGAAGGTTTTTTGGTTTGAACCCCCCCTCCCCCCAGGAATTTCCAGTTTAGCTTCATACTTTCCTTTAAAAAGTTTGGCTTTTGAGACCCCCCTCCCCCTCGGAATTTCCAATGACCTTCCTTGGGGTGGGTATGGATATTTTCTGTAACCGCACAATGGAAAGAAATGATGGTGAATTTTTGATATACATGTAATATTATGATATTGTAACAAAACTGAAAACTATAAAGTGTCATTGGTGTTACATTATGAAACAAATGCAAAAAATAAGTTACCTGTCCTGTCTCGAGTCTTAAGAACCACATCTGTGAGATAGGACTCCTGTACTATTGAGGGGAATGCCTCCAGCGTCTTACAAGACAGACTTTCCATCCCAAGGAAATCACTGACACAATGCAATGCGACTCCTATCCCTTGAGATGGGAAGGAGGTAACTTATATTTGAGCACTACTTTGAAATTATTTGTAATTGCAAATAATTTTGGTAAAAGAACACAAAAAAGTACTGCCTTCTGACCATTTTTATATGCCATCTTAAATGTTACACCAAACAATAATTTATCTAGCATCTTCGCACGCATCGCATGCATTTCGGGCCTATTGACACTGGCTAATTATTCCAAAGTTTCCAGCACACAAAGCTGATCGGTGCCCAGGCTCTCTGCCATTTCTGGAGTGGAAGCAATCCCCACCCACCCACCCCCTCATAACATTGTTTCTACAAGGATATTTCCAAAAAACCTCCAGATATTCCAACACGTCACTACTATTTGAAAAGGAGTTGACTAAATTCCCCCCCCCTTTTCATCAGTTGCAGGGGACAAGGGGCGGGAATCTGGGAGTAAAGGGGGGGGGGGAGTCTATGGAATGCGGGAGAAGAGAGGGTGAGAAGCAGGATTCCAAGGTGGCAGGAATTACAGGAGAAATGGGAACATCTTTTTGCAACATGGCAATAGCACAACAAGGTGGGGACCACAATGGATGGGGCAGGAACCATGAGTATAAGGTATGTATGGGAAGCGTGAAGTTCAGACCCTCCGTCCTCCCCCCCCCCCCCCCCCCCCCCAACAGCTACCCTCTTATAATTTATTACAATCCTAACTAAATTAATGATCGATGGCCAAGAAATGCATAAAGTCCTTCTTGTTCTGGATTGGTGTTCTTGTTGGCCGTCCCAGATCCTTTCGTCCACCTTTGTTTGTTTTGATTTCTAAGAGGACTGGGCCTTCCAAAGTTCTCATAAGTGTGACAGCCTCGGATATTTCTTCTGGTTGAACTGCTTGAATTACCTACAATGTAAAAGTATGGAAATGAGAATTTATGTTTTGAACTCGACACCAAAATGGTTACAGCAAGGAGCCCAAAACTGTGACCACTTTTAGTTAATTCACATTCTTTTGTGCACGCAGACTATCCAATCAGAAGCCGAGGATAACTTCTGTTGGCATCTGATTGGATAGTATGCGTCCCAGGGGGGGTACTCAGGTATAATAGTGATGGGAGGCTCGAATAAGGCCAAATTGTTAGACCCCAAAAAAGTCCTCTTTTTCTCTGCATCAAAAAAAATAAAAAATAATAATATGATCCAAGAATAGAAACAGGAAGTCTACTTGTCATTTGCATGTAGTTAACATTTGTAAATGAAATTGACATAAAAATGAGAACCCTGGGTTACACTTTTTTCCAACCCCAAAAAGTCCTTAGCAAATTTCTAACCCCCCAAAAAGTCTTCATATCGCAAATTTCAAACCCCAAAAAGGTCTTCGAGCCTCCCTGTCAATATTATACCTGAGTACCCCCCTGGGGTATGATGCGTGCACAAAATAATGTCAATTAATTAAAAGTGAAGGCCACACTCTTGGGCTCCTTGCTGTCATGTTCTATCAGCGACTTGTCAACTATTAGAGAACCAATCAGACATGTGGATTTGCAAGATATCACAATGAGCATCTTAACTGTACTAAGAAGAATTAACACATACCGTTTTATAACCACATGCCTTGGCAACACCCAGAAAATCAAATGTGTCACTTAAAGCACTTGTCGGCTGACCCCCAACTGAGTCGTGACAGCCATTGTTGATTAAAATATGTTTAAAGTTGGGAACTTCAGTTTGACCAATTGTAGCAAAAGCTCCCATATGCATTAGGGCTGCACCATCACCATCCAAGCAAAATATCTAAAAAGAAAAACCATTAATTTTTCATCATTAACATTGATGTTCAGCATGTGAAATATGTCCATGGCACGGCTGGCAAGAGACTGGCAAGAGGCAGATTTTGAAAACAATTATTGTTTTCAAAATAATCTGTAGCTTGTAATTTCTGTAATTCTTGAATTTTCTCACTTTATACAGAACTGAATGATGTAATTTTATTAGTTCATATCTTCGTATTTTTTAACTTTTTGACATACTGTAAGGTTTATCTACATGCACTTTTTAAAATTTTATCAGGGCCTCTCATAACAGTTGTAAAAAACTGAAAGAAAAATAAAGGCTTTACTACTACTGCCACTGCTACTGCTACACATGTACTGCTGCTGCTGTTGCTGCTGCTGCTGCTACTAATTAGGTGGAATTTGATATGTTGTTTGTTTCTGTCAGCAGTGCTTAATTAATAAATGATTTGAGGAAAAATAAGACAATCAGTTTTTACTAGGGAAATGGAATGCTCTTTTCTGTCCATAAAGAGTGTCCACATCTCTCTGTACAATTGCGTAAACTTGCGAACACGAGAACAATATCAAATTCTTCAGGTTTCAATCTTCGACTACTCCTTTAGCTAATCCTTTTCAAATACAGTTAGAGCTCCTGTAAGCAGACAACCTTGAGAGCAGAAAAAGTGTCCGCAACTGAAGCTGGCTGCTTATGGGAATATGTAAATACAGAGTTTGTACGAGTTAGAGTTCAAACAGGGTTTTGTCAAGGTGGCCTTAAGTAGAGCTGTCCACTTATGAGAGTGTCCGCTCAGAGAACTTCGACTGTTCAACAATAATTTACTCATAAAGACACACTAAATACAGTGGAACCCCGCCTTACGACCACCTCGTTAATATGACCACTTTCTTTTGTCCCGAACTAAACTTCTGTCAGTCCTTTCCTTATTTAAGAACTCCTTTAATACGACCACCCTGTTAATACGACCAGATTTTGGTGGCCCGTTGGTGGTCGGAAACGGATTGCGAAAAGGTTAACTTGAAAAACGACGGCTAGTCTTTTTCAAGTTAAGCACATTTGTGTGAAACAAGTGGTAAATAATGCAAATCATCTGTGTTTGTTATGTAAGTGAGATTTCATCTTTGAATTAATATTTCATTGACATGTTTGAGTTTATAGCTCATAAAAAAAGAATACAGGGAAGAATAGCAAAAAGTAGTGCGACACAGCCCCTTTAATGACTGCTGGTGGATAAGCAAGCTACAGTATACCTGTCTTTTTGGTCTGAACTGGGCAATACCAAGTGCAATGGCTGACGCATGACCCATGGACCCCACTGTTAAGAAATCTTTTTCGTGACCGTGACCTTTTTCCACACGATATTCAAAAAGTTCACGTGACAACATACCAGTTGTACCGACAACCACATCACGGTCTTTGAGAGAATCAACAATGACTTTTAAGGCTCCTTCTCTGTTTAATGGATACCTAGCAAAGTAAAATGAACACAAATTGGTAAGTGCTACTATGAAAAAGAAAAATATATTACCAGAGAGGCTGCATACAAGTATGATTTTAGCAGGTAGCAAATTACTGTGATCTACAGTCGAAGCTCCTGTAAGTGGACACTGTCGGAAAGCAGAAAAAGTGTCCGCAACTGGAGCTCGCTGCTTACAAGAATGATTCTCGTACGTGGCTACTTGCAGTATTAGGGATATGTGGCAGCTTACAGGAGCTTGTACCATGAAGTTTGGGATTTATAAAATTTTGAGCTGTGGCAATCTTGACTTACACGCCTGTTTCTTTTTCAAGCTTGAATGGTAAGAAGTTCTGTCTTCTCACTAGCAGACAGTATGGTCCTTTAGTTGTTTCCATATGTTTTCTTGCCACATACAAGCCTGAAAAACAACGTATCAAATGGCAAGTTAATTATCAATCCAGATGCAAAAATACACCTAGAACAGGCCATTTGTCTCATGAAAATGCACTGTTACATAAAGGAAAACCTTGTGAAAATGGTCATTTCCAGAACTGAAAGACAGATGGCTATTTACAATATTAGAGTTGAAGAGAAGCTGAATTCTAGTCCAACTCGGTGCAAAGAAAATTGATTTTCCAGGATGCCGTTTGGGCAAGTTGGGAGCCATAATGTGTGCTATCCTGAAAAGGCCTTTCTCATTGGCTTTATTTTGACATCTGCCAACTAAAAATGTCCAAACATTTACTTGCCCATCGGCTGGTTTGGTCAAGGGTGAGATAGGCCTGTACCCTGTAAAAGCTATTTGATTATGGAAATAGGAACCCGCCCTATTCCCCTTGTGGGGAGGGGAGAAGGGCCTGATGATGACCCTGATTACTCGCCATGCTGGTTCCATACAAAGAAGGGAAAATCAGTATGAACTGATATACAGTGGAACCCCGCCTTACGACCACTTCGTTAATACGACCACCTCGTTAATACGACCACCTCGTTAATACGACCACCTTGTTAATACG